TTTTATTTACTTATTTACTTTTCTGTGTTTTGCCCACTATGTGCACGCCTGATGCCTCAATGGCCAGAAGAGAGCATCAGATCCCCTGAGACTAGAGCTGCAGATGGTAGTAAGCCCCTATGTGGGTGCTTGAAATGGAACCCAGGCCATCTGCAGGAGCAACCAGTGCTCTTAACTGTTGAACTATCTATCTCTCCAGCACCGTGAACGTATTTCCTAAGCCCTTCCGATCTCAGTTTCTATGAGTAAATTAGAGGTGATAATTTTGGCTGCATGATAGTTGTGGCCTTTAAATGAGATAAAGTCCTTAGCACAAGGCTGAGCCAAGAAAAGTACACACTAGCCATTATAAGGCCAAAATGCATCTCTGTGAGGATATGTAGAAACAAACCTTGTGCTACCTAAAACAGTTAAACCGGGGAGCCAGAGAAAGACACTCTGAACTGACTCAGATTAACATTGAAGTTCAAAACACAGAAAACTCCCCTTTTCCTTCCTCAATCTAGTCTCCAGCTAATCCTGAAATTGCGTGCAACCTGATGCGAATCAAACCAAAAAGGAAAATAGTAATTACGCTGAATCCAATATTTTATATTTATACATTCGAGAAGAGATTCAACTGCATAAGCCAGAACTGCTACTAAGTTCTTTTTTGAGCACACCCTGAAGACAGTTGCTTTAATACTGCAGAGACAGGTCCTGGACCTCTCTAGGACCCTCTCAAATGAAACACAGAGAGCCAAATTGGTGATGCCAATAAATTAAGAAATCATAAAATCAGTAAGAAAATCCAACCCACACCAAGCATAGTGGCACGCACCTTTGACCCCAGCAGTTGGGAGGTAGAGCCAGGCAGATCTCTGTGCATCAGGGCAAACCTGGTCTATGTAGTGAGTTATAGGACAGCCAGGGCTACTTCGTGAGACCCTGTTTCAAAACAAAACAACAAAAAATCCAAGCCAGCAGCAAGAGGGAAACACAAACCTTGAAAACTTATCTTGTCTGATTTACAATAAAATCTCAGTAACTCCTTCTCTTCCCCACTCTGTCCCAACAAAGCATAAGTAATTCCTAGAATCCTTTGAGATACACATGCAAGCATTTTCAAGTGTAGATACATGCTCACAGGTGCTTTGCTCATGAAGATAAATGAACAGGAAACAAAGATTCCAAGATCACAGTGACCAGCACAAATTTCTCATTGGAATCATTCTATGTCACTGTGAAGAGGGACCTTTTACAAGTCCAATAGTATCTTCTGACCAAATGCCACACTCTTTAAGACAATTCCAGCAGGCTATTAGTAAAATGCTAGTTGCTGCATATCCTGATGAGAACAGTTAGAATTATAGATAGTCTATTGTTTTATACTAACAAACTATCATTACCTATTTAATACTCTAGTCCCAATCCTTTCTCCTTGTTCGTGGTTTCTCTCTATTTTAGTGCTGGGGGTTGAACCTAGGACCTGGAACATGCTAAGCACATGCTTTACCACTGAGATACCCCCAAGGCCACATTTCTCGTCTTTCACATGGTACTTATCGCACTTCTTAGTGCATTCGAAGTCTGTGTGAATGGCTTATCTCCCTACTACCAGACAAGTTGGTGTGTGTGTATGTGCGTGTGTAGGGGGTGAATTTCCTGTCCTTCTTGTCTCTGTAATACTAAGCACAGAATACTTCACATAGCAGGCACTCCGGAAAGATATGGCCAATAAAAGCTATTACAGATGATTTTTTTCTCATAGCCTCTGGACTGGCCCTTATATGAAAAGTACTGGTGTCAAGCACATGGGCAAGGCAGAACCTCACTTGAAAACCCTGGCAGTATGGTGTACTTTTATTCTCTAACACCCTTGAGAACACATCAAGATCAGATAGATCATCCTGAGTTCAATGCCCAGCAACCACATGGTGGCTCACAGCCATCTGTAATGAGGTCTGATGCCAACACTATATACATAATAAATAGATAGGTAAATCTTTAAAAAAAAATCAGATCAGGGGCTGGAGAGATGGCTCAGAGGTTAAGAGCACTCAGAGGTCCTGAGTTCAATTCCCAGCAACCACATGGTGGCTCACAACCATGTATGATGAAAAAAATCAGATCATCCCAACTATGATCTGTAACTGAGAGTCCTTCAGGATGTGGCTTCTTCTCAAAGCCTATTCAGAACTCTAGAAGGCTAAGTTCAAGGCTATCAAGAATCTCAGTGGTAGAGCACTTGCCTAGAATATCCAAAGCCCTAGATACAATCCTCACCCTTCTTTCCAAATAAAATAAAATTTTAAACTTGGATTAGCTCAGGGCTCAATGAACTGGTCACCTAGACACTGCAACACTTTGCCTAGAAAACCATCTCTGGCTTTGAAGAAAATAGTTAACTTCTCCCAAGTAAGGCACTTGGCATCTAATTCATTTGGACCTAGGCTGAACCCAAGTCTTTACATTGACTTCTCCACAACTGCCTCCCCAAATGGCCAAAATTCTCTGGGGATAGTCCACATAAGATGAGGCTAATGTGTGCAACTGGAGAGGCCAGGGTAATGATATAGACTACCCCATTTCTGTATCACCCGTCTAAAGGTATTTGCTTGGGTCTGTCTGTGTTGTGACAGTGTCCTAGACTCAAATGAATGCCTCTAACACTCCACATTTTTGAGCCATTCAGTCATGCATTTTTGTTATTGTTGAAAGTGGTACGAAACTGCACTGCTTGAGCTAAAGTCCTTGGTGGTCTTCCAAGGATTCCAGCTAAAAAGGCACTTCCTTTGTTCCTCAGGAGAATGCAGTCCAGTAGGTCATTCAAAAAGGGAAATAAAAGCAGCAGCCCTGGGAGGGAGATGAAGGACGAGACAAAAAGAATAAAATGTTTTGGGTGTGAGCACATTAGCTTCCGTTTCCTGCCGCAGGTCACTAGTAACTCCTTTATCTATTTTTTTTGGAGGGGGAGGGTGGGATCCAAATAAGACATTTATGCAAAAAATGTTCCTCAGGTGTTTTCCAGGGCTGACTACGATCCACGGGAACACTTAAGTGTCCCTGAACACCTTCCCAGCTTCCTTTCCCATTAGATGCTGGCTGGGGAAGTTGCCCTGACATCTCCTGAGACTGCATACCCCCAAACCTGAAGAAACTGGGGGGGGGGAGCGATTGGGTAACCCACACCCGAAAAGCCTCCAGTCCATCTCAAAGGCACATACTGTCTGCACGACCAGATGGAGACTTGTCCCTTTCCCAGTAAGGGCATGGCTGCATGCCTCCCTTCAGAACGTGGGAATGACAAGTGTAATCTTCACGGCAATCATCTCTGAAGCACCCAGGCCCAAACTGTGCAAGACACAAAGAACCCAGGTCTGACCTGCAGAGCCCCCAAGCTTCGGCGACTGCTGGTTCAGTTCTCTGTTACTGGCAGGCCAGGAGGAAGAGGGGAAAGAAAGGGGGCTTTTCAGAGCGCTACAACCAATAAAATCATGAGGCTGGGAGGACATACTTGAGCTCCCAAAAAGACAGGCGGCTGAAGGGCAAACAACCTTTCATCATAGCGTGTGAGTTACTTGACAACTGCAAAGGTGCAGGGGCCGCCTGGGCTACTTCCAACAATTTCCTCAGTTCTATTTCCAGACGGAGGCCGGTTACACTCTCAAAGTGCCCAGCAACTTCCCTCAATTACTTTTGTAATTTATATGTAATTGATGACTGCACTTAATCTCCAAGGTTATTAATAGCCCTTCCAAAAGATGAGCGCCCCCCCCCCCAAGTCTTCCTAAGCCTTTGGAAGTGCCTGGTTAAAATTACAGTATTTCCTTTGCTGGATGCTGGCCCCCTGCCTGCCCCACCCGGGCAACCAGTACAGCGAGGCAAAGGCGCACTCTGCACACTTCCATGAAAGGTTCGGAATGGAGGTTTGGCCTTCGGGGCTCGAATCTCTAACTCCTCCGTTAGGTTAAGCTGGCCAAGAGCCAGTAAGGTTCGTGGCTCTTTCTGAGCCCCAAGGGTGAACAAGCTACCTGTGCTGCTTTGGGCGCCAACCCGCAGGGCTGAGCGCAACAGTTGGCAGCTGCGAAAATCAAGTACAACAGGGAAGGAGGACTCGCCAAGGCACTGCCACCGGCGGGCCTGGAGACCTCCCGACCAGGAGAAGAGGGAGTGAGTACCTGGGGTGCTGCCTCCCCAGAGTTCCAGGAGGGCTTCCCCAAATACCCCACGTCGTCCCGTCCCCCCTCCCCCACCTTGTGCTGAAATCCGGTGAACTTTTTCAGAGGCAAAGCCATCTTCATTTGCATAACCACCTCCAAACTGAGATTCAGGTTTCCTGTAATCAGTCCTTTCAAAGGTCTGTAATTGAAAGTGCAATTAACCCTTAAAATGAGGTGAGAAAAGAGAAATGGGAGGGAAATACCCTTCTTATCCAACACCTTCCGGAAAGCTGGAGACTTCCCAAAAGTTAGGATTTGGAAAAGTGGGGAGTAAAGGAGGGCGTTCGCTTTTTAAAGGTGACTTCTAAAGCCCTTGCAGGTCCTAAAACGAATCCGCGTCAGCGGTGGAAGAGAGGCGGAGAGAGGGGTTTTAGGAGAACGTCAATGAACTACTCATTCAAGTCGCACGTTTTTTGCGCCCCAAGGAATCTGCAAACTCCGAGAGGTTCCCCCACCCCGCCCCCACTCGGCCTCGTCATCACCCACACAACAAAGCGGGGAACCCAGTAAGAAATTCAACCCGGAAAAGGCAAGAGAGCCCATGCCACGCACTCTAAGGGCCATAGTCCTTAGTGTCTTCCTGGGACCGAAAAGACTTGGGGGGGGGGGGGCGCCGCCGCCAAACACCGGAGTAGCACTACACAAACCGGCGGCGCCCCTCCACTCGCGGTGCCCGCTCCGCGCCGGAGCTGGCTCCCGCCTGCCCGTTTCACCCTCTAGGCTACCTGGTGTGGCGTGGGGGGCCGCCCCTTTCCCGGGGTGCCCACCGCTCGAAAATGGGGGAGGATTCCCACCTACCGTTGATCTCATAGAGGGGGGCATCGTTCTTGTTGAAGCCTTTGGACACGTAAAGACGTCGCACTTCCGAGCAACTTTTCGACTTGAGCTCCGCAGCCAGCAGCGAGACAGTGAGCGCGGCCAGGGTGCAGAGAAGCGCGAGCAAGCCAAACCGTGCCATGGTGCGGACCCGGGCAGATGCGCTCCCACCTTTGGGGAACAGAATAAGACGGGATGGGAAGCGGGGCTGCGGAGCGGGCGGAGAAGCACGGAGTCAAGGACTCACGAGTTGAGCGAGGACCGAGGAGTTGCAGTTGGTAGCAAAGGAGGAGGAGGGCAAAAGGAGGAGACGCGGGCGAAAAGTGGAGCTGGGCCTCGCGTCAGGCAACGGTCCCCGGTGCCAGGCGCCTGGCCGGGGTGGAGTACAAGGAAAAAGGCGTGGAATGGTCGCAGGACCCACGGGAAATAGGGAGAGGATCGGTGACCTCCGAAGGCTAGAGATCCCGGGCCAGTTGGCTAGGGGCGAGGGGTTCAGGAAAGGAAGGTGGCAGGCGTCGCAGGAGAGCAGAGTGTGGGCGGCGTCGGCGGGTGATCGCTGGCGCCGGGCTCCGGCTACCCGGCGCTGCTCCGCTCACCCAGCTGGGCTCAGCTCACTGCCCTCAGCCTCACGGTTGTGCCCTTCTCAGCTCTGCGGCTGATTGACTGGCCCGGCTCACGCAGTGAGGCTCCACAAACTTGGCCCAGCGGGGCGGCCCTAGGGAGGGAGGGGGCGGGTACAAGGTGGGGGGGGGAGCCTGAGACAGGTGGGAGCACGCAGGGCCGGGCCGGGAGAAAACCTGGAAGCTGGGTTGGATCCGGAGCGGGCCAAATCCACTTCCTAGGGGGCCCGCACGGGGCGCCTGGCACTCCCTCTCGCGACACGCCCTGCTGGACTCCTCCCTCCTGCTCTCCTCCTCAAGAGGCAGGGAGCCTCCCCCCATCCCCCCACCCCTGCTCGGAGAGGAAAGGCCAGTTTCTTCCCGTTTTAGAGCCCAAGTCCCGGGGATCCTGGTGGCCTGGGTCTTGGATCCTTCAGCCCCTGACTGAGCCACAAGCCTTTCCCCACAGCCACCTGACAGGCTGTCCCCGCGGGCCAAAGCAGCACACTTCAGCCCCAATACCTGCGTCACTGCTGCCACCCGGCATCCAGGATCTCTCCTAACCAGTGCCTGGGCAAGGAAGGCACCCACTCACGTTACTGGCATTGTTTTGCTCCAAACAGCAGAGGGACTTGAAACTCGGAACTGGCCTGAGAGGCTCACCTACCCTTCCTGGACCAGCCTCCCATCACACAGTGTTCACGCACAGAGCACAGGCTTGTACCTAACTGGCAGTCATTTTCTCAGCCCCACAGAATGTTCTCTTTCCACTCGTGCCCTAGGTTTTGCAATAAATATAAACAAACTCTGAAACTGGCCAGAAAAAAAATATATGAACCTTGAGTAGATGTTCTCCCAAGTTTGCTTGGGAGAACTTTTGCTCCCACGCCGTCCTATGGACGTGTTAGAACTGAGGCTCCACAGAGAGAAAGAAAATGCATTAATTAGCACTCACCTAAGGGCAATGGGTCGAAAACCCGGACTCTTGAATGGGGGTCCATGGTGGTCACAGGGAATGATAGCCCAGGATCTCCATCCACTCCTTCCCAGTCTCCATTTAGCCACAAGAAAACTGGGCATGGGTGAGTCTTCCCACCTTCCAAGCTTTGTCAGATTCCATTAATGAGTGTTTTTGAAGCTCCCAGGGCTCCTTTAATGAAGGGAACTGTGCAGATTGTGAACTTGTCATTACTGTTGTTATTGTTACAATCTGCTTTAAGAGGTTAGGGTGAGAAGTGCCTCAGACACCTCGGGAGTGTGCTGGGAACTGGGCAGATGAAAAGGGCTGGAGCTTATTATTTGGCTAGACTCTCAATTCCCATAAAATTACATAGGGTGAAGATATGAACCATCATTACAATTATCGACCTCAGAGGGTTTGTTGAGACTTCCTGCCCGGCTCTTTGTAAACCTCGTTGACATGGTTGTCCACTAGGAGCCATAGGAACTAGGGAAGCTGTTTTGAATGCCCACTGCAGACTCCAGTCTCCATTCATTATACTAACTCTCATGGACCAGCAGCATGAACAGACACACACACTGGGACCTGTCTCTAACTGAGACTTCCAATTTCTTGTTGTTTGTGTGCTTGTTTGTGACAGGGTTTCTCTGTGTGGCCCTGGCTGTCCTATAACTCACTCTGTAGAGCAGGCTAGCCTCTAACTCACAGAGATCCGCCTGTCTCTGCCTCCCAAGTGCTGGAATTAGATGTCTACACCACCACACCCAGTTGGGACCTTCAATTTCCGAGGTCTGGAAATGCATTTAAGTTATGCAAACTCAGCTCCACTAAATTTCCCGTGATTTTCAAGGAACTTTCTGACAGTCCAGGTAATCCTTAAACTGATAACCATGAGATCCTCAAGGCCCTGCTAGCGCTTGGCTTTCATTGATGTGTACTTAAAGGTATTCTTCGCCAAGTGAAATATGATTTGAGACGCAGCCAACATTAATAGTAAAATGAAACTCCGAGCCGGGTATATGGTGCACACCTATAATCCCAAAAGGTGTAGGCTGGAAGATCAAGAATTCAAGAAGCGCCTCGGGGACACAAGGAGTTTGCGGTTAACCTGGGCTACACAAGACCATCTTTCAAACTAAAATGAATCAGTGGCAATAAGAGAAAAGGGGGTTCTCCTAAACTATAAAGGGGGCAGTTGGAACGCTGCCTCTCAGAAGAAGAGAAATTCTTTTTTTCTTTTTTTGCCCCCCTCAAGCGACTAATGCTCTTCCTCTTAGCATGTTATTAGCCAAAACTTGAGCCTTTTCTACCAGAAACAGTAACCTCTGGCTACAGGCAGATCTGGACAAGTCTGAACTTTACCAGAGAAGGCAGGAACCCCAAGCCTTGCTCTGGGGCGGCTCCCACTTCAAAGTCTCCTTTCATTTAAATACAAACAGGGTGAACAACTGGCAATCTATGGGACAAATATCACCCAGAAGGAAACTTTTCAGATGGCCCTAGTTCCTTATCCTCTCCCCCTCCCCCACCCCAGCTCTCCTACAGGCTGGAGACGCACCCCTGCCGGGTTGGGGGAGGGGGTGGTAGTGGAGGGTGCTGGGGGAGGGGAGTATGTGAGTCCCTGCTACTTCGATTTGCTTTGATTTTCACCTTCTGAAAAAGACTATGGGAAAGATCACATCGAATTTACGATTTTAACCATTTGAATATATACAGTTGAGGGCTGGGGAACTAGCTTAGTTTGGGAAAGTGCTTTGCCATGCAAGTATGAAAAAACTGACTTCAATATTCAGAACCAGTGTAAAAAAGCCCAGTATAGAGGCACACATTTGAACTCCCAGTGCTAGGGAGGGTGCAACAGGATTGCCAATCAGCTAAGCCAAATCAGTGTTCTCTGAGCTCTTAGGTCCCAACTAGGGATCCCGTCTCACAAAGCAGGATGCCTGGCTCCTGAGGACCAGCACCCAAGGGGGACCCCTGATCTCCATATGCTTCTGCACACATACAAACACAGCTGCACATTTACACACAAATAAGATACATGACACACAGTTCGGTCACATTGTGCCATAACTACTTCCAGAACATAGTCATCATCCCGAAAGCAAGCCACACTTTGAGTACTCCATTTGCCCAGCAAACCGGCTGCCTTCCTGTTTCTAGGGGACGTTTCGTATGAAGAGAATTATACAATGTGGGGATGTTTTTGTCTGGCTACCTTCACTCAGCATCAAGTCTCTCGGGGTCCACCTATGGACTAACACATTTCAGTATTCCCCTTCCTTCAGGACATATACTATTCCGCCACACAGACATACCGCAATGGGAGCCTGAAGCGCCTTTCGCTTTGCAAGATGCCGCCTCTTTTACCCTCATAGCTGAAAATGTAGGTGTCTTAGGGGCTTAGGATGCAGCTCAGTGATAGAAGGTATGCTTAATAGATCCAAGGCTCTGGTTCAACTCCTTGCATCCCTTCAAATAAGGACATTTTGAATTTTGGGGTCATTGTTTAAATTCGGTCTTTAACAATGTCATACACACACACACACACACACACACACACACACTTTACTTTGAACATATTTCCCCAAGTCCCTTCTTATTTGAATTCCCCTTCATCTGAACCTTTTCTTCTCAGTAAGTTCCTCTTCTACTTTCATGTCTCTGTGGTATGATGTGTGTGTATGGTGTGTGTGTATGTGTGTGTGTGCGCATGTGTGTGCACATGCGCGTGCATGTGTGTGTTCCCCCCTCATTTAATTGGGGGTGCCTGCATAGGTGGAAGATTATGGGTGTAGCGTTTGATATTCCTAGGAGACAGTCCCACAGCCAAGTCTTTGTGGATCTCTTTTTAAAAGAGGCAAGGAAACCAAGTCGTAGACAAATTATGTAGCTGATAGCCATAGAGCTCTTTCAGTAGCTGAACCGAGACTGAAAACTAAGACCTCTGTCATAATCCCATGCTATTTTTGGTCACAAAATACAGTGCTCTGGATTTCATTTAGGGTCAGTGGTAAATGTGGAATTTCCCCCAGATCGTGTAGCACTATCCTTGCTTCAGATTAATAACTGATCCTGGAACTCATACAATGTGCGGGATACTGCTTGATTCTAAGAGGAGGCAAGATGTCTTAGCCAGGGCTGACATAGACAGAATGCACTTACAGCATACCTGGCTTTCCCAGGTGAGGGATTTCTCATCTCATGCATAGGGAATGAAGAACACATTGTGCTATCCTCCAAGCAAAGAGAATAAGTTGAATCAGGTTCTTTTGATCAACTGGTTAGCTCCCCATGCCATCAAATACAAAGATGGGGTGAGAAGAAAGAGGGCTCCTTCCCTAGTTATGCTAAGTTGTTTATGTGCGCCAACAAGAATATATCCTTCTCTCTCATGTCAGGAAGTCACCTCACCCTTAGGGGATTTGCCCTGTGAATACAGTGCTGTTCTTCTCCATTCCATGGGTAGCTCTTTCAGATTCAGCCACAGGTTTCTGGAAAGCCTGCCTGGGGATCTCCAAGCGAAAGCAGCAGATGCTCCTGTCTCTACACCTTGAAAGCAATTAACAGCCTACCTTGACCCTCTGCAATGTCTGAGAACTCTTCGCCGCAGCACTTCCAGGAGCTACTCCAAGAACTAGGCATTTTCTCAGGGAAAGAAAAGACCCCATTTGAAATCTTCTGGTTTCTCAAAGTGAGCAACTAGTTTAGAACTGTTAAAAGATTGTTTGAGAAGGACTGGGGATGTAGCTCAGTCAGTAGAGTGAAGCCCTGGGTTCGGTATTTAGCACCCCATAAACTTGGATTG